GAGAAAGCATTCCTCTGCTCGAAAAGGCAAGAGAGGTACTTACATTTTTAATGATCAGCGGGTATCTTGTTACCCGTTGCATAGGCTTCAGTATAAAACTAGACAGCGGCATCCCTTTACAGCGAGGGTCCATTGCCAATCTCTGAAATAAGAGATTTTTTTCAATGTACTTCAGAAATCTGCAAAATCCAGGCAGTGACATCAACATGGATGTTATTTAGGACTCCCCACCCATCACATCGTCTCATTTATCTGGATGATAACCGAGGAGCCTGGAGTTGGAAGGGCCTGACTAGTTACCCCTGGTCCAGGACGAGGCACTGTCCAGACGGAGAAAGGGAGACCCGCAGATGTGACTCAGCCACCAGACTTAACCCCTGCTCTCCAGATTCGGCAGATCTTCCATGGGACACATGGTTCCTTACTTACAGAGATGAGATTCTGGCTTTACAGAGCATATTTCTTCTGGATATCTGCAGAAACTTTATAACATTCCCAGGAACAAGGAGAATCACAAAACCAGAGGATCGGAATAAAAATCCCCCTTAAGTCCCAGAGATGCTGGAAGGGCTAAATCGCATTGTTTCGGGTGGAGCCTGCAGACGCCTGTGGGAGCCCCAGGCAGGGCGGGGAAAGCGGAGCTGAGACATGAGGGGTCAGGACTCCAGTCTCAGGGCCTGCGGGTCATCTCCACCCTGGGCTCCCTGCCTCTTTCTCCTCACCACTTTTGTCAACTCAACTGGAGGACAGGAGTCCTTCTACGTCCGAAAGGTGATCCCATCTACTGGCCGCAGGGATTATATGGAGACCTAGCTCTCAAAGGCTCTGGTCAGGTTTAACGCCTTAGAAATGGGCAGCTGCCAAGACCTGGGAACTGTCAGCACCTGGACCTGCTCCAGCTGTGGACATCATCATTCCAGGAACACTTGGCAGCCAGCAAAGGCAGTCAGACTCCCACAGGGATGAGGCGGGGAGAAGTGATGAGGGGAGGGGTGACGAGAGGTAATGAGAGGACGGGTGAGGAGGGAGGGGCAACAAGCCGCCTCCCTGGGCTGATGTCAGCATTGCCCTGAAGCTCTGGTGCCTCCAGTGATGAACTCATCCGCCTGTGCCCAGGGAGGACCTGCACCTTGGCTGAAACCCCAGGTGGCCCATGGAACCTGGCAGCCCAGCATCTGCTCTCCAGTCCGCATCCCACCCTAGGCCTACTTCTCAGCAATATTTCTCCCCTTAGAAGGACTTGAGAACGCCCCATTCATTGGCTAGCAAATCGAAGCATTTAACGTTAAGAAGCACCAGGGGGAAGAGAAAGATCAGACCTACGTGATGCTCTGGCCAAGAAGAGATGTCATTTTCACCTCACAGTGATGATTCCACAAACACGATAATGGAGGAGGGAATGGCCTGCCCCCAAAACCAATGAGGCACAAAGATAAACCCGTCATTATTACTATTATTTTGCGTCTATTCATCAAAATGTACCTGTTTAGCAGAAGTTATTTTATTCTCTTCCTATTTTTTTCCTCCGGGGGAGGTGGGGGATGACTGTGTGGGCTGGCATGGCCTGCAGGGCCCCACCCCGGCCAAGGCCAAGTCCCAGGTCAGCAGGCCCAGGGCCTGGGGCCTCCGACAGCATGGGGCCCACTTCCCCACATGTCCCCTGCTGGACACTTGGCTCTCCAGACCCCTGTTATCCCCTGAGGCACAGGTCCTGGCATCCCACACTCACTCCTATGGGCAGCCCAGAGCTTGAGCCAATCGGGAAAGGAACAAAGGGTCCATTGGGCATCCTGGCCATTCCCTCTGCAGGGGAAGGGCAGAGACCAGCAAAGAACTGAGGGTGCTCAGATTAAACAAGATAGGAAACCCGAGACCCGCCAGCCCTCCTGGGCCTGACAAATAAGATGGAAAATTTAAACCTGTATCTAAGTAACACTGCTAACACCTGGACAACAGATCAAAGCTTCCAGGCCAGGGTTGGCCCCTCCTCTCCAAGCCATCCCTTTGGTCACAGCCACACCTGCCAGCTAGTGCCAGCTCCCTATTGTCCAGCCAAGACCTCGGTCCCTTACACGCCCAGCTGCTGGAAGATGGCCACTCGGGGGGCGGGGTCTCGGCTCAGCCTGGGCTCCTTACTTTGACAAACTCCTTGAAGTCTGGGGCCTCGTCCGTCTTCTGCTGGATCAGGGCCGCCCCGTTGAGCTGGCAGCTGCAGAAGCGGATGTAGGGCTGCATGTGCGGCAGCTGGGCAGTCAGGATGTCACCGATCATCTTCACGGGCATCTTCTCCCCAGACATTTTCTTGCGAACTCTGAGCGCTCTGCACAGACACACGAGAAGTGAGCCCCTGCCTTCACGCTATGTGACGATGACACGGCATACTTCTAAGTTGTACGGAAAAGCAGAATGTGTGTGAGGGGCACAAACCCAAGGGCCACTAAAGGATCTACTTGGGAGACAAGGAACAGAAAAAGAAATGAGTCTAGCGCTACAGACAGGTATGACCGGAACATTTTTCTTTGGCATAAGGGCTGTTTGCTGGCTCTTAGGAATAAAAACTTCAAAAAAAAGTCTTTGCTGAACAAGTCAGCATAAAAAACAATTTTTTTCTTATGGAGAAATATGGAATCCTTTCTTTAATAACTCAGACAGGATCCCTGTGTTGATGTCTCACTTTATGGATCGTCTGTGGTGAAGACCCCAGGCTGGTATCGGCCTCCACACTGAACATGTTTCTGGGGCCGACGATGCCCAAGGGAAGCTGCCTTTGCCAGCGGACATGGAGGCCCATTTTCAGACTAAGCAGGACATAATTAAGATGTAAATCAACTGCCACAGAAAAATAATCCCATTATGTTCACCAAGG